TGCTTGGCTTCAGTGAAAATGGCTCCTCTCTGCTCCCTAGAGACCTTTTAATAGAAGATCTGTGTATCTGTGTGTGGGGATGGGGGAGGGGAGGATGAAGTGATGGGGAGCTGTTTTTTATTTTTTCATTTGCTACCTCTATTTGAGGTGGGGATATAGGTGGCCAACCTGAAATTAATCTGATAGCTTTGTGGTGACAAAGGATAAAGGAAGGTTTGGGGCTCCAGTCAGTGGTTTAGAATGGCTTAATACAACTTAGTAGACAGCAGGTTTGCTGTGTTCTCAGAGGCTTATGATGTTCTGATGTATGAGGACTCCATCATCTCCTGAAAGCAGGCAAAAGTAATAATGTCCTAAGAGACCAGGATGCCGGGAGTGTTTTAAAAAAAATTAGTCTCATTATCAGTTTCTGTGCATATATTTTTGTTTCCTTTTTTTTTCCTTCCTTATGTATTCCCACCTTACCTTACATTTTGTATCTTACATACCACATGCACAGAATATGTATTACCATAATGTTATGAATAAAAGTAACACCTCTTAGGAGAATCCAGCAGTACTACCAAGCAAAAACCACCAGATCATTGATGAGGATGACTTGGACATGCATATTTTAAAACTCCCCATTTTCCAGCCCATCTTTTCAATGGCCTAATTTTATTTTCCATGCTTTGTTGCAGTATTCCCTATAACATCAGATATTTACCAACTGGTGATCCACACACAGGCCGATGGAGGCAAACACTGTCTTAACCAATAAAAACTGCCTTCGGTTAATGCTATCCAGAAAATCCCTATGGAATATATATCAAAAGTCTTGAAATTGAGCATAACCTTTGACTTAAAAATTCTACTTTTAGGAGTTTATTCTCAACAGATAAATAGACAAGGATATAAATTTGTAAACCCAAAGATATCCACTGAACAGTAAGCCTGTATTTAAGAACAGGGACCCTGGGGTCAGACTGAGTTCCAGGCTTGGCTCCACTTCTTGTTAGTTGTGTCACTTTGCAGGCATCACTCAACTTCTTTGCCTCATCTGTAAGAGGGGCTGGTAATTGTCCTTACCTCATAGGGGCTGTACTGTCATGAAGAAGAAGTAAGTTGACCTGTAAAAGATGCTTAGGATGGTTTTTGGCCCATAGTGTGCATTAGTAATAATAGAGAAAGTGGACATAGCATACATATTCACTGACATAATAAAAATAAAATGCAGTATGTTTTAGAGACATCCCCACATTAAAAAAACAGTTAGGTTATATAATAACCTATTAACTACAGATGTTGAATAGTTGTATATCAAGAGGTTAACTGTAGCTAAAGACTACAGACTGCATTTTCCTCTCTGGATCATTGCCATTTTCTAAATTTTCTACAAAGAAAATGTATGGTATAATAAAAGTTGTCTTTTTAAGCCCTGCAGAATATAGTAAGAGCTAACCTTTATTGAGCTTATAATGAATCAGGTATTTATACACACATATTCCTTGCTTACAATAACTTCATGAGGCTGGTGCTATGATTATCATCTCCATTTACAGATTAGGAAATGGAGGCACAGAATGGCGAGGTGACTCGCCCAAAGTCCTCCACCTACTAAGCAGTAGAGGTAGGATTTGAACCCTGGCTGGCTGACTCAGGGCCTATGTTTTTAGGTTAAGTACTCTCTTAGCATGATTTTAGTAATCTGAGAGCTTCCAACCACAGCCTCCCACAACAATAACCTAGTTGCATACACTGTTTAAAGGAAATGAATGAAAAGTGCCTCTCCTTCCTTGTGTCTTCATTGCCAGTACTGGATAAATGGGGGGTTTTCGGGTTTCCAGCTTTCCTTTTATCTTGTGTGGTAAATAGGGAAGTAGTAAAGTTGACTTTTCTGTGTATCCCTTAAAGTACATGGATTTTACATTGCATTAGCCAAACTAAAAATAGTTTATAGCTTTAGAAATAACAAACCAAAATAGTTGAGTAGTAGCATATACATTTTTCACCGTCCTGTTACTCAGTCCTGAATGCAGCTACTGGGCACCCTGAATGAGTCTTCTAAACTTTTTCAGATGTGCAGAAGTTAGAAAAGCACCAGAACAAAGTGACCCTAGGCCCTGCACATACAAACGAGTCAATATGTTAAGTTCCAATAGCAATAAAGTGTAGAACAAACTGTCCCTCCAGTTCAGAGTACATAATTATCACAGATCAAAGGCATCATGAGGTAACAATGGATTTTTAGCGATTGTCTGATTTATTCTAGAGTCTCCTTTTTTATGCAGGCAGTTAAACTGTAACTGCAAATTTTTTGTGTCTTTTAAAGAATGAAAATTGGGTGTTTCAAGGTAGTAAGTTTACATTACAAAATAATACCTCAAAACTAGTGGCTATAACCACAGGATCTATTTTGAAAATTGTCTGCCTTTATGATCTAATAACTAACCTGATAATTTACCAGCAAATGAGACTGATTGAATCAGGCTGTCAGGATGAGCATGTTGCTGGATAGCACCACCAATCTTGAATCCTTGAGATCATAAAAACACTGCAGTTGAGCCAGGGCATTACTCAGAGGTAACTAAGTTTGGGGAGCTCATTACAACATTAGAGTCTCTGAAACCCAGAAGGAACAGCCTTCTCAGTGCTGATGAAATTCCCCCCTAATTCTCGTAGAGTTCTGCTGGGAATTGGGATTCACTGCTGTCATCTGTGCTTAGGGTCATTCTTGGTCTCCTCCCCAGAAGAGGCTAAACTTGCCAAGAGTTTCTGGAGGCCAGGAAGGGGATTTTCTCTTTGCGCCTTGCTGTTGTCTAACTTGCCCTCTAGCAAACCTAACAGAGCCCATCAGTGAGAAGATATGTTCTCCCATGGGCAGATCTGGCCGCATCTTGTACCTCTCCGTCGTCGTCGTCTTGGCTGTTAGGGAGAGGGTAATGCACAGTTTATTCAGGAAGCTCCCCAGTGTGCCCACTTCCTCCCGGGGCCCTCCTGAGGACACAGGGGGGGATTGTCCTAGGCAGGTCCTCACACATAAGCCTTGGACAAATCAGCTTTGGTTTCCTCCATAGTAGAGTAGTGAGATTAATGTGTGCCTTTCAAAGTTGTCAAGATTAACAGATATAAAGACTAAAAGGTTGAGAGAAATCTTCTGCATCTGTGGATGTTTTGTTGCCCTTGTCTAGCTTGGATTAATACTTAGTCTATAGGCACAGACCTGATCATCTACATTTGCCTTCTTACAGCACTAAATTATGTTTTCTACCTTTATCTTGCATCTACCTAACACTTCAGCATTTTATTAAAAAATAATAATAATAATAAGGGAGAAATGTGGGATTCACATATAAATCAAATATAAAAATCAAACAAATAATCATATTTGACCTGATTGTTTATAGTTCATGATGCGTGATCAAAACTGAAAGTTTCTGTGATATGACTGCCCTTGCACTGTTCACCATGTAAGAACTTATTCACTATGAAAGAACTTGTTCACCATGTAAGAATTTGTTCGTTATGCTTCAGAAGATTGGAGACTGTTGAGAATTAGCCTTGGGGTTGATTAATGATTGTGCATTGAGTCCCCTATACAGAATTTTATTGTTGTTAACAACCATTTGATCAATAAATATGAGAGATGCCCTCTCAAAAAAAAAAAAAAAGAATAAAAGGCATCTCCTATAGGACCTGGAACCTAGTGGTAAGCAGTCAATAAATAGTTGTTCTGATGAAAATTATTTATTATTCACTGCTTGTTAGAAACTCAAAGAATTTAGATTATTCATATTTTCCTCAACTGAGAAATGTGAGTTGGCTCTGGGTTGTAGGCCAGAAGAGTCACAAATTGTGTTGTAGGAGTTGAAAGACAAGGTCAAATAACGTTGTACACTTAGATTTATTTTCCAAAAGCACATGGAACTTTGTCTTTTTTTTAAAATCCTCTCTTTCTTCTTCCCACTTGTCCTCCCTTGCCTCTTTCACTCCCCATCATTTCCCCAGTCAATCCATGGAATATTTCCATTATTACTATTTCAGAACTATGTACTTTTTGTTAGAAATGATTAATTATCCATCCCACAGCATGTTTTTCTAATTACATACCAAATTGTGGTCTGTATTCAAAATGTGAAGTGATCTTTATAAACGAATGAGCAACCCCCCAACCCCCAAAGAGTAAATTTCAAGTTTCGGTACAATTCACAGTTTCTGTCACTATCACTGGGACCTTTTCTCATTTGTTTGGAAATGTTCAAGCCCTGCTTTTTGTTAAAGTTGTGTTTTTAATAGAAGAGCTGCAGCTGCAGCCAGAGAAAGTAAAGAATCAGAGAGCCCTGTTCAAGCAGTTATCTGGAGCCCAGGCTTTCTTCCCGTCGTCTTGGCTGTTAGGGTTGATTATCTCCAGACCCTAACGTGCCAAATTCAAGTATGGCTAACTGACTGCAAAAGCCCAAAGATAAACTCTCTTGGAAAAACTACTTTTGGACTGACAAATATGCTTTTCATTCTGCTTAAAGTCCGGGCCAGGCCGTTGATGTTGAGGGCGTGCCTGACACCCAGGGAGAGGCATGCATCGCCCCCACCCTGACTGGGGTCCCTGTTGAGAGTCTGCTGGGAGATTGGCATATACTTTTGGACTGACAAATATGCTTTTCATTCTGCTTAAAGTCCGGGCCAGGCCGTTGATGTTGAGGGCGTGCCTGACACCCAGGGAGAGGCATGCATCGCCCCCACCCTGACTGGGGTCCCTGTTGAGAGTCTGCTGGGAGATTGGCATCTTTATGAAACCAGCCTTTCTGTGTTCCTAAGCTGTGTTTATGAAGTGATGTCGTGCTTGCGCCTTCTTTTGTCTGCTTTGAGGAAAACGCGGAGAGCCTGGCAGCACTGGAACCATGCCACTTGCTGAGGGCGTGTGTGCAAACGCAGGAGCCAGGGACCTTGGGAGGCAGGGAACTGGCCAGCATGTTCTCAGGTTTCCTGTCCTTCATGCTTCTCTCTCCCCTGTTGTTTTTCAGGTAGTGAAGCTGATTTTAGCTCCTCAAGCAGCACGGGCAGCATTTCCGCTCCTGAGGTCCATATGTCCGCGGCGGGAAGCAAGCGGTCCTCTTTCTCACGCAAGTAGGCACTGTCCCCGGATCTGTATTGTTAAAATGCTTTACACAGATGACTTACCTGAACTGTGTGTTTCTGTAGAACCACTCAGATTACTATCTGTACATATTTTGTTATTATTCAGTGAGTGATTTTTGTTTGTTTGTTGCAATGATTTGAAGTTGCTACTTTTCCCTATGTTACCTTCTGTGGTCACTTGGCTTGGCCTGTGTTTGTCCACCCATGGCTAACTGCCATTCAGTGCTTGGCTCTGTGTTCCCCTGTCCTTCCCTCCCTTCTCTCTGTCCCTCATGCACCTGTGTCCTCACCTGGTATCCAGCTAGCTGTCACCCACTCCCCACTCTGCCTCTCCTTCATGAGTCTATTATTTCTTTACCCTTGTTAACCTTCCTTTTTTTTAAATCTTTGTAAAAGAAGCATAGCAAGTCCTTGGTCACTCCCAGTGTTCACCTGGAGAAGGAGTGACAAAAACATAATGTTCGTAGGCATGGGTGGCTGCCACTCTAAGAAGCACTGGAGCTAAACAGCTAAGTGTATGTGTGTGGGCTCTGAGCCAGGCTTCCTTAGTTTGAATGCACCTGCACCACCTACAGGCTGTGTGTCCCTGAGCACATTGCTTAACTTCTCTGTGCCTGTGTCCTCATCTGCAAAGTAGGGCTACAGTCATATACACCAGGTTTATTGTTAAGATTAAATTAGTTAATACAGGTATTAATTAGAGTCAGTGTTTAGGGCATAGCAAGCATCCTCAACAAATGTTTGCCAGGGAAGCTATTTGGATTGGGGGAGAGGACTGTGGGAAACTTTGAGTCACTATCCATGTTTGGTGGGGTAAGTAGTAAGATCCAGGACTCTCTGCTACCATCAGTGATTTTATTCATTCAACAAGTGTTTATTGAGCATCTACTATGAGACAGGCTCTGGAGATATAGCAATAAACAAAACTCCCTGAAAATTATATTCATTCTAGTAAGGAAAGAAAGACCATAAAAACATAAATAATATCATTTTTTTAAAAACACACAGGGAAAGAACAGAGAGAGTAATGAGATGTGTGGTATATTTTGGATAGGCTGGCTCCAGGAGACCTCTGTGATAAGCTGAACTCTAAGCAAGGACCTGAACAATGCATAGACTGAGCCACAGAACAGTTCAGAGCTGATGGGTCTTAAAGACAGGGCAAGTCACTTGCTGTCCTGGAGCAGTGTCCAGATTTGTAAAACGGCAGTTAGAATACATGATTTTTAAGATCCCTTCCTGGAGGAAAAACTGTTTAGTTTCCAACAACTTGCATTTCCAGGACTCAGGAAATAAATATTTCCCATTTTTCTTGGGTGAGCCAAAGAAAGGTTCGACTGATATTTATAAAGGGACCTGAGACCCCCAGGGCAGTTTTATTGTTAAAAACAAAGCTGAAGCCAGGTAAGCCAGTAGCAAAAGAGTAAAGTCCAGAGTGAAAAAGCACAATTGTTCTATCTCCAAATGCCATCTGTTTTGGAAATAAAGTGCCTCTGGGATCAGAGCACATAAATATAAACATTCTCTGTAGAAATCAGATGTGGCTTGCTCTAAGTATAACCCACTTATCTAACCCGTTCAAGAAATTAGCACACAGCCATAGTACAAGGTATCAAAGAGCAGACAGGCAAAAGAAAATGGGCACGGCCTGTAGAGGAAGCCAACTTTATTAAGCATTTCAAAGTTAAATGAAATTCAACATTTGTGGTTCAAGTCCAAGGTAATGTCAATAATAGTAGCGACTTGGAGAAGATGTTCGAGTCTGGAATCCATGATTTCTCTGAGTGACTTAAAATTGACATGTCAAACAGAAAATAGCTAAATATAATTATATGCAAATCAGATATATGCTTAATAGATAGACAGTTGAAACTGGCAATGTTCTATCCATTATCCTCACTTTTTAAAAATCTGATCCAGGCACAAGAGCACAATGTAGATTTCTTTGATGGAATATTTCAGGCATTTCATGGAATCTTTGTGTTCTACAGGACCATGCATAGGGGATAACTCCTTTAGATGGGCCATATATCTATGCCAAGCCTTATAATAACTTATGATCCTTGAAATTGGCTCATTCCTCATGTAATAAATTAGTTTTCTCTGTGGAAAATTAGCTCCTGGAAGAAGGGCGAGCAGGAACATTTGGTGAAGGGGTGGGAAAAATGAGGAACAGGTGGAGTTGGTGAGATTATTTTTGACAGGTGATTTTAAAAATAAAATTTTAAAGATTCACAAATGATCTCTCCTTAGAGAAGATGAGTCTGTTAATCTGAGGAATTCTCTTTCTTAAACAATAACACTAATCTGATTAGAGGCAGACAGAACTAAGAAGGAAAAAAACCTTGGGATTTAGAGGCAGACACACCTGGGTTTGAGGTTAGTCTCCATTGTTTATTAGGTGCATGACCTGGAGCCCTAAGTCTCAGTTTCTTATTCTGGAAAATGGGATAATGATGACATCTACCTCAATGAATTAAATGATCTGATACATATGAATGCTTCACACAGTGCCGAGACCTTAGTGAAAGGGTCATTGAATGGTTGTTTTAGTTAGCGGTGGTCAAAATAATTCGAATGGACATGCTGCTGCCGACGGTGATGGTTATGGCGGTGATGATCACACCAGTGAGCTCAGGCTGCTACAACAAAATATCACAGACCAGGGGGCTTAAATAACACAAATTTACTTTCTGACAATTCTGGAGCCTTGAAGTCCAAGATGAAAGTGTCACAGGCCTGGCCTCTTCTGCAGCCTCTGTCCTTGGCTCATAGGGGGCCGTCTTGTCCCTGTTTCTTCACATCATCATTTCTCTGTGCCTGTGTCCACATTTCCTCTTCTATTAAAGACATTAAATTAGATTAGGGCTCACCCTAATTGTCTCGTTTTAACTGAATTACTTTTTTAAAAGCCCTGTTTCCAGATACAGCCACATTTTTAGGTGCGGGGGTTTAGGGCTTCGGTATACAGATTTGGGGAAAGACATGATTCAGTCCATAACTATGATCATGGTGCTGCTTATGATGAGCATGTGGTGATAGTAATGTTACCCTGAAGTAAAGGACAATGGCTGGGAATGGAAATTCACCTTGTGAGGTTCCCTTCTCCCTTTCTCTCACTTGCTGTTTGATGCATTCAAGGATACAAGAATGAGGTGAGGTCAGCAGAATTCTCTCTCCTTTCTGTGGACTGCATTCTTCTTGTTCACCAAGAGATTTAGGTGGACTGGGGAGCGTAGCATGGAGTTCGCCTGTTCATGGCCTTAACAAACATGCAACTTGGGTTTCCCCTTTGAAAATGTTTTATCATCATCCATGACAACTGTGACCTGTGTATGTTAGCATTTGAACTAAACTGAATGGAAGAAATAGAACTGATATTGTTGAGTACATAGTTTCTTTTTTAAAAGTTTGCTATTACAGTCTGGTAACTCAGTTCCTGAAATATATTTAAAGACGTGATTATACCTCAGGAATGTGTAATAGCTTGAAGAGTTTTTGCTTTATTCTGAATAACAGAAGAATTCTTACAAAATCCTCATCTAATTTAGTTGTAGAACATGCACTATGTATGTAAAAGACATCAGTGGCGATTTCCTCAGGTAATAACTGCAAGATAGCTAGTACCTAACATACCTGTTTTCAAGTCCAGAACAATGTATTCCATTTGTGTAAAGTAGAAGATATTTCTGAAGAGTGAAAAGACCAGGATTTAAATCCCAATTCAACTGTGTATTCTTGGACCAGGTTTTTCCCTGAACCTCAGTTACCTCATGTAAACTGAGTACTTCACATACTTCACATATCATAAAAGGGAGGTAATAATTATACTGGCTTTATAGCATGATGGTCAGGATTAAGTAAAACAATGCTCAGTAAGCATCTGGCACAGGGATAGGGTCACAGAATGATGTCGGTGAAGATTGAGTTCAGAATAGAATTCCCCAGGTCAGAATTAGGGCTGACTCTCTACTTTCTCTCCTGACTTGTAATGGCTCATCTTCTATATTTCTTATAGTCACACTAAGAAATAGTCAGGCCGGTTGGTTCCGGACTTGGATGTGAACTCTGGGGAAGCAAATCCCAGCCTGAGTCCATGTTCTTTGCTGCTACTCACGAAGCCCTGCCCACCGCTGGGCTGCTCGGCCTGGTTTGTCACCGAGCCATCAGCCCATCTGTTCCACATAAAGTGTCCCGTTCTCATGGAAAGGAGGCAGCACACATTTGGATGATATCAAAAAGAAAGAACTTTTTAACTTTAGAGTGTGGTGATGTCTCATTTTCGCGTGATTTACAAGGTTGACAGCTAGATGAAATTGTATTTGATTTTAAATAAGTTATTTTGGTTTTAGAGCTAAGTATACCCACACACACACTCACATTCACATTTACACGTGTTTCTCATTGAGATGTGTCATTTAGCTACAGCTGTAATTAAAACTGCAAAGAGATTGTCAGAAAGCAGTATTGCCGTATGAACGGTATCTCGTTTCCTTTTGTTTTATTGTAATGTCATCAAGAAATGTTCCTGACAGAGCCGTTATCTTGTTAAAGTAATTTCAACATTCTCAGGATGCTTCCTTACACTAGCGGGTGTCAAGTCTCTGGAACCAGATTAACAAGGAAGTCCAATCAAGTTTATCCTGTAATAAGACCCTACAGCTTAGTTGCCCTTAACTGTTTATTGGATGTACTCACATGCATTCATTGATTTGATTTTCATGTCAACTCTGGAGGAAGGCAGGCAAGGTTATCGTATCCCCACATAGTAAGTGGCGTACTTGCCCAAGTTCCTAGTAAGTGGCAGTGGCAGGACTCAAACCCAGCCTATTCATTTAGCAGTCAGGGAGCACCTAACGTGTTCCTGGAAGTAGTGGGGGTAGAAAAGAACAGAGTGTGTTCCTGCCCTCAGAATGCTCCCAGCTGGCAGGAAAGACAAACAGGTATGCAGCGGTGATGCAGTGATAAGCCGCTGGGTGGAAGTGTACAGGGAGGGTTAGGGAGCAGCAAGGAGTGGCCTGTAGACCAGCCTGGAGATGGAGGAATCCAGAGAAGGCTGCTTGGAGCAGGTTCCCATTAGTGTCATAGTAGGAGGTATCCAGAGACTTAAGGTGGGGAGCAGAAGGAAAACATTCTAGGCAGAGAAAGTTATAGGTTAGAAAACATAAAGATGATGGAAAGCATGGATCATCAGAAAACTGTAAGTCATTTGGAATGCTGGCATCCAGAGGGAGGAGGAGGAGGGGGAGGGGCAGGGGTTGGGTTGGACAGGGAGGGGGGTTTGGACCTTGTGAGCAGGATTAAGGAGTTTTCCCTTTATTCTGGAGGCAGTGGGGAACTGCTGAATGGCTTTGAGGAGGATAGTAATAATCAAATTCCACTTTAGAAAGACCCATTCCAGCCACAGGGTCAGCCTTCCTGGTGGGGGCAAGACAGGAGGTGGGGGGATGAAGAGAGGGCTGTTACAGTCTTCGAGCAGTTGAACATAAAGGTTGTGTTAAGTCACTGGGGATGGAAAGAAAAGGAAAGCCAAAGCAGGTTGGTAAAATTTTTGACTTGATACATACATGGACTATGTTTATCTGTCCTCTTTTCTCCTCCTCCTTTATGGGCAACCCGCTTCTTCCCCATCCTCCAGTGAACCACTCTTACTTATTTTCTTACACCAACATGAACCAAACCCAAATAGTTTTAAGCTGAAACAGGTGTACGGGAACAAAAACCACATCTTCACAGCAAAATGAACCAAATCAATATTTTACATGGTTAATGTTCTTAGCAGGCAGTTGGGTTTAATTCAAAACAAGCTTTATGACCAAAAACAATTTGAAAGAATAGCAGAGGGTGAGGTAATGTGCTAATGACACAAAAATAGAAAACAGCAGGCAGGTAGGAAGAAGGCTGTTCGTAAGGACAGTTTGCGCTAATAATTCAGTCACCCCTTTCAACGCTATCAGTTGGATTTCCTTAGTAGTTACTCACCATAAAAAGCATTTGGGCACCCGTAGCCCCAAGGATTTTACAATGTTTCATGTTTTTCTCCCAGTCGAGGTCCCCATGGGCGGAGTAACGGAGCTTCATCGTGCAAGGCCGGCCACAGCCCACCCTCCCCACGGGAGAAGGACCTTCTGTCCATGTTGTGCAGGAATCAGCTGAGCCCCGTTAGCATCCATCCCACTTATGCACCTTCTTCCCCAAGTAGCAGCAACTCTGGCTCCTACAAAGGCAGTGACTGCAGCCCGGTAATGAGGTCAGTGCTGCTTATCTGTCTCCCACTTCCTGGTTCTTAGTTTGTCTCTTACTTCATAAGTTTTCTATAAAAAAAATTACATAACCCTTGATTCCCTGCCTTATTCTGCAATAAGACACTTCCCTTTCCTTTCCCACACTCAGCTAGTCCTTCAACGGCTGCTGCAGGAAAGAGACATGTCAGGAGCAGTCCAAGTTTCAGCAGCCCGAGTAGTGACTGGTAGGGCAGAGAAATGGCTCCGTGGCAGTAGAGGGTCCTCTGTGTGTCCCTCAGAGCAGGGCTGAATGGTTCACGTGATCATTCACTCAGCACGGTGTGCCAGGTGCCGTGTGAGCACTGGGAGTGGGGCAGGGTGGCAGTGGTCCCTGTACGTACCACCCAGAGGACACGAAGACATTCCTCATGACCAAGGCACATGAAGATGATTCTGCAAGTAATTGATGCTTGATATGTATGTACAGGATGGAGAGAGGCTCCAACTCAGTCTGGAGGGATCAGAGGAGGCCTCCTGACCTGTTGAAATTGAAATGAGACCTCAAGGTCAAGCAAGGAGTGAATTAGTCTGGGAGTGGGGCAGGGGTTGCAGAAAGGATCTGTAGAACCTGAGGAACACGGCAGGACTGGCTGCAGGGGAACTGGACATGGGCCATCAGATGGAGTGCCGTGGTCTTGACTGGTTCCACAGTCCAATCCAGGTCTGCATTTGGGGAAGAAGCTGCAGCCCCTCCTTCAGGCTTCTCCCCTCTGGGCCTCCATTCTCCCGAGTCAGCCCTCCTACAGCAGATGCCCGCCCTTGGCCAGGCCTGAGAGGGGCCGAGAGTCCACTAGGGAACTTTGTGGAACCCTGAGTGTCTCTCTTACAAAACATTCTGGTGAGTACAGCAGACTTTTCCCTTCAGAAGAAGGGAACTTTCCACCAAACTAGCACATTCACACCAGAGACTGATTTGGAACAATTTGAATTCAACTAATAACAATCAGGATCTTTAGGCAGAGGCACATGGTGCAGAAAGTTAGGCCACCCGCTCCTTCCTTCCTTCCCGCCTGCCCCATCTCATTGTCCTTTAATACGACAGCATGCAGCTCTGAACCTATGGCTGGCCTGCGGACAGTCGTGCATTGCGTTGTATGAGATCATTCCTAAGCCATAGAAAATCCTCCCTCTCCACTCCCCACCCCACAAACAACCTCCTCCAATCTTCCATGTAACGAACAGTCCCGAGATTGGCAGGTATATTAGTCTCCCTTCCCAAGTGAGGTCACACGTTATTGAGGTTTAAGACCCCAACACACAACTGCTATTCCTTCTGGAGCTGTGCCTGAACTTCTCTTTGTATAGGAAAAGTAACATTTCATTCCTTGGATTGTTTCAGGCGGTCTGGAAGGTACACGTCCTGTGGTGAAAACCACGGTGTCAAACCCCCAAATCCCGAGCAGTATTTGACCCCTCTGCAGCAGAAGGAGGTCACGGTGAGGCACCTGAAGACCAGGCTGAAGGAGTCCGAGCGCCGACTTCAGGAGAGGTGAGTCTGCTCTCCTGGCATGCCGTGGTTCAGGGCGGGTTCTTCTGAGCCCGCACTGTAGCAAAACAGAAAAGAAGAAAAATGATTTCATTTAATTTCTGTCTGACTTTTAGAATCAGTCTCGCCAAACAGCCATGTCATAGCCGTGCATGGTTCGGCTGCTGCAGGAGCCCAGGGGCTCCTCTCGGGCCCAAGGCCAGCCTCTGTGTCTTCTGGGTGTGTACAGCTTTGGCATGGAGAGTTGGGTGTGTGCAAAACTATTTTTAAATGACAGGAACCCTTGGCGGGAACAATCCCATACTTCCAGGAGAATGGGTCACATGCCTTGGGCCCCTAGTAAGCCCTGTTTATCTCTGTGGAAGAGGGGATGGCCATGTGCATTGTGATTCCTGCAAGCTATTTCTGTGCTGAAGGAAGAGGTTCGTTATTCTTGGCCAAGTGTTCAGGTAAAATAAAGCAAAACAAAACAAGAACCAAAAAAAACAGTCCATGCTTAAGAGATCTTATCTCAGAGAGAAAAGACCTTTGACATCTTAGGGCAGGCAAGATTTTCTGCTTGATGGATTTTCCCTGGAACATTTTGGGACAGACAAGCAGAGCTCTGATCAGGGTGGTTGTAAATTCAGACTGAGCATGGTGTGAGTCATACCCAACTTTCTGGAAGTCTGTGGTTTGTGATTTGAGGAATCTATGGAGGGTTTAAGCAATCATGAAAGGGAGGTATGGGAAGGCAGTGAAACAGGAGGATATTGAAGCCTAGACTTAAAGAAGCAGCACCAACATCTCTTCATATGTATCCAGATCCTGAGTACCTGGGCTTCATATCTTGAGAATATGAAGACATATATTTACATTGACTATGAAGAAATTATATGTAAGGAAAAATTTTTTGACCAAGTTCTTGAAATAGGATCCTGAGAAAGATCTAAAAAAATAGGATAGATTCTCTTCAGTGTAGGATGGATCAGTATGATCTTACCTGAGAGAACACAGAGTGATCAGCTGTTCACAAAGTCCTTGCAACAGGTAGCATTTTCTGATTTTAAAAAATATTTTACTTGTTATTGGAATATAATCAGAACAGTTTGGCAAGACTAAAACTTACCAGTCTGCTTTCTGTCTTTGATAGGTAATTAAAAGTGAAATGGACTTTGCTTCCACAGACTGTTTGCAGACATGAAGGGGTAGGCTGGGGAGATAAGAGCAGGCTATGGAACTCTAATGTGTTCTAATAAAATTTCAAATATTAACTATTGAAGAGAGGATAATGCTGGTAAAGTATTTAATGCAATGCCTTATTGCATGCACTCTAGAAGAAAAAAACAAACTATAGTAGCATATTTTATTCTGATCCTAGTTGCTATTATTTTTTAGCTATTTTGCAATTAAGGTGGTTTTACAATTAAAGTGGGGGTACAGTTCTGGCTAATACCTGAAAAGAAAGAAGTTTCAAAGCTGCTTTAACCTCTGTGTTTCAAGTGGAAGAGGGTGGACTCCTAGCCATGTGTCAGACTTGCTCACTGGCTGGTTCAAAGCTGACATTTTCCTTGGCCCTGCTTGCCTTCTCACTCCAGGGAAGGTGAGATTGTAGAGCTCAAGTCTCAGCTGGCCCGCATGCGAGAAGACTGGATTGAAGAGGAGTGCCACCGGGTGGAGGCCCAGCTGGCCCTCAAGGAAGCCAGGAAAGAGATTAAACAGCTCAAACAGGTCATTGAAACTATGAGGAGCAATCTGGCTGATAAGGATAAAGGCATCCAAAAGTATTTTGTGGACATAAACATTCAAAACAAGAAGTTGGAGTCTCTGCTTCAGAGCATGGAGAGAGCACACAATGGTTCTCTGAGGGATGAACTGTGTCTAGACTTTCCATTCGATTCCCCAGAAAAAAGCTTCACGCCAAACACCCCTTTTGGCAAGATGGCCGATGGGCTTTCTCTGGAAGAGACGGTCACAGAAGAAGGGGCTGACGGCAAGCTGCTGGTGGGAGACAGCCTGGTCGATGGCACAGATTTGTTTGATGAGATGGTGGCGGCCATCACTGCAGAGGCTGGGAACCTGGAGCTTGTTGCTGCCACCCCTGGGGCAGAGGCCCTTGAGGTCCTCCCCAGGGGCGTGGGTCCTGAGGAGGCCAAGGCGATGGTGGAGCAAGCCGTGCAGACCGACGTGGTGCCCTACAGCCCTGCTGTGTCAGAGCTCATTCAGCATGTGCTCAAGCTCCAGGACCCCTCTCCCTCTCCCCCCACATCCCCTGATGAGTCCGGGCCTGACTCGATGGAAAGCTTCCTCAAGTCCATCTCTGCATTAGTGGTTGATTTAACTCCAAGAAATCCAAATTCAGCCATCCTCTTGTCTCCCGTGGAGACCCCATACACCACGGTGGATACGGGGGCTCGTGAAAACCGCCTCATGAGAGAGCTGGATTTTGCAGGCCCCACAGAAGAAAGGTTGAACGGCATCATCCCGCTGTCCTCGGGGGCCGTTGGGAGGCAGTACTGGAGCAGCAGCTTCCTGGTGGATCTCCTGGCCGTGGCTGCTCCTGTAGTCCCCACGGTTCTGTGGGCATTCAGTACTCAGAGAGGGGGGACAGATCCCATCTACAACATCGGAGCCTTGCTCCGGGGCTGCTGTGTGGTTGCCCTGCATTCACTCCGCCGCACCACCTTTCACATCAAAACCTAAATAGCAGTTGTTGTTTCTGTGTGCCAGTTTGTCCTGTGTGGTGTGCCAGGTGGAGAAACAGCAGGTCAACTTGAGGCAGTCCCTGTTCTGTCGTTTTGCTCCTCGGTATTTGATTTGCACTATATTTAGTTGACGCCTGTTCACTGTTTAAAACGAGAGGTCTCTTCAAAGGCATGGAGACCTGGTTCAAGTAAATGTCCCACCAGTGTGGTATAGAAAGCATGCTCATGATCCTGCCGTGTCGTCTGAGGTGCCCTTTCTTATCCTATTGGTTCAGGAAAAGAAAATGCAAAGTTTGCACTTTGAAGACAGCTTCTGTAAGGCTGGCATGTTATCTCCTCGCGTTGCTTCGTGCTGTTTTAAAATGTGTAATCGTTACAGCATTCCAATGGTCTTGTGCATAGCAGGGGACTGTAACCAAAAATAAAAATGTATTTGTGTAATTGGTCTGAAGAAATCTTGAATAGCTCTTTAGTGTCTTACTCGGGGTTGATAAGGTTTGAGTGTTTGCAATTTTTTACTAAATGTAGCTCCAAGGTCTTAAAATGGCTTGTTTGTTCTTAAACCTCTTAATTGATGAACCTGTATGTAAGTTTACAATGTATTAACTTATTTTTTGCTCATTATGTATAGTGTTTTATTGGAAATTGTAACCATACACTTCAGCATGATGAAAATAAAGATTAGTGTTTCCATTTAAATAAATGTTCTATCCAATAAATAATCATCTCTGTGGTTTTACTTCTAAATATGATAAGACTAACTGGACAGCAGATCTTTCCTTCTTTATCAATAGGAGTCTGTCAAAGTGGAGTTAACTAAGAAACGAGAAAGAGGGAAAAACAGCTATTAAAGAAATAATGATGTCTTTAAAAAAGGCATTGTTTCTGAATAAAAGTAGCTTTGTTTGTTTGCTCTGAAATTACCCACACACTTGTTTGCCCATGAATTTGTTCAGTAAGGGTATGTTGAGTATTTTCAGGAAAGTTGGGGTGATTTTTTTTTAAGCATGGTAGGTAGCACTGCTAGTACCTTATGCCTTCTCCCCATGGAAGGCTAAGGTGAAGGTGAGTGGCTGGGAAGGGAGGAGATAATAACTGATCTATACTATCTTATTTTTTCCTCACATCAATCTTGTAAGGTGGTGTATTATTCTATTTTACAGATAAGGGAGCTAAACCTCTAAAAGGCAAACTCACAATCTCATAGTTTCTCTCTAGAAGCCAGGATTTCAAGTTCCTGCGAAGCAAATAAATGCCTTTTCCACTTTACCACATGAAGGGAATAACAGAAGAATATCCTAAGTTCTCACCCAGAAACTCTTCTTCACAGCACTTACCACCTTTAAACATACACTGTTTTCCCCACTAAAATGTTAGCTCTCTGAGGATAGGGATCTCTGTTCTGTTTTGTTTACAGATCTGTCTCAAAAACTTAAAACAGTAGGTGGCACATAGTAGGGGTTCTAAAAACAGTTGAGAATTTATTCATCCAACAAATACTTGGGTGCTCACATACTAAGCATTTCACTGGGTGGTCAGTACTGAAGGAGGCAGGCAAGGTTTCTCCCACCAGGGAGCTTACATTCTGTCTGTGAAAATCACAGACTATGCTGCCAATGACCAAGATCATTTTAGATCATGGTACGTGCTTCTAAGGACGTAAACAAGGTGTTTGACCAAGATTGACAGAGGCAAAGGTAAGGAACACATCTCTAAAGAAATTACATTAGTGGGTATAGTATTTGAAAAAGAGCCAGTCATATGAAATTATAGGAAGTAAAATTTTGCAAAAAGAACAGATGCAAAGGCCCAGAGGCAGAAAAGGGCCTGACATGTTATGGGGCATCAAGGAGGCTGGAGAAGCAAGAGCAGTGAGGGGTCAGGGGCAGGTGGAGAGGTAGATAAGAAGCTAATTTTTCTGGTGCCATGCAAACCACATTAGGATTAATTTAAATTTATTCACAATGCAATGAGAAATATTAATAGACTTTAAAACAGGACAATCATATAATTTTTTTTTCCACTTTTTCTTTTTTGAATTTTGGGGCTGCCGTGTGCAGAGTGCATTATAGGCAGGCAGCAGTGGAAGCAGGGGACAATTGTAATGGTCCAGATGAGTGATTGTGACCATTTGGAGGTGGAAGTGAATAAAGTTGAATATATAAGTTGAATAAAGACATAACTTAAAGACAGAACTTGTGTGATTTTCAGAGAGAGTGAATGTGGGGAGGGAATGAGGTAAGGTTTAGGGAAGAGAAATTAAGGATGACTCAGGTTTTTGATTTGAGCATGTGGGTCAGCAAGTGGTGACCATTTATTAAGAATGGAAAGAACTCAAGAAAAACAAGTTTGGGAAAATAAATTTGGATGTCTATTAAGTATCTATGGATAATGTCAAGTGAGTAATTGCATATATGTAAATGTGAAGATCAGGGGAGTTGTCAGGGCAAGAGCTATAAAATTGGGGTTCTTCAGCATTTGTATACTATTTAAAACCATGGCATGGGTGAAATCCAGGGAGAGTTTAAAGAAAAGAAGGCTGAAGGCTGAGTCCCAGGACACTTCCACGTTTAGATAGAGATAGAGAATCAAGAACCAACAAAGTAGTGTAAGAAGAGGCAGCCCAGTGGTGGGAGGAAAACAAGATGAATGTAGTATTATGAAAACCAGGAGAGGAAAGTGATTCAAGAGTGGGGTGGCCAACTGTGTTGAAGTCCTACCAAGAAAGTGAGCAACATGAGGACAGATATATGTCTGTCTACTAGCTTTGACAACAAAATCTTAGTGACTGTCAAGATCATTTTCTTGGGAGAAATGAAGCCAGATTGGAGTGGTGTGGATAAAATGAGAGTTCCCGTGGCCAGGATTCTCACCTGGCCCTGGTTGACAAGCTCACTGCACACCTGTGGGCAATACATGGCTGTTGACTCTATATAAAGAGCTCCACCCAGTGCTCTGGGCACGACATGGTGGCAGGGCTGCAAGGCAGAGGCTGGAGTGGTGGCAGTGCCGAGGACAGAGGCCCAGAGAATGGCTGTGCGGGACGACTGTGCAGAGAGGCCGGGAGGACGGCTGTGAGGGACAGCTGTGTGGACAGAGGGGCCCAGAGGCAGAGACTGGTTTGCTGCATACAGACTCGTTCTGAGTGAATAGGATTCTAGTGACTGACCTGCCACCTGGAAATAAAGGTGGGTATAACCCTTTCACCCCAAGAACGTTTCGCTGTCATTTTCTTTGGTCACATTGAATCCATAGCGAACTTGCCTGGGACTGAAACCCATTGGCAAGAAAAGTGCGTTATCAAGTGAATGGAAGAGAGAGAGTAGAAATCAATGTGTGCAGCTAATTTCTTTGTTTTATTGTGAAGGGGAAGACATGGGTGGTAGTTACACAGGGGATGTGAGATGCAAGTCTCTGTTCTATTTTTCAGTAATGAGAGAAGATAGAGCATGCGCCAATGTAGAGAAAGAAATTGATAAGCCAGGAGAGATTAATTGAAGGAGAGAAGACCTTGAGAAGATGAGAAGGGATTGGTTGGAGGGCACAAGGATGCCCACGGGGAGATGATGGTTAGTCCCTGATGGGCCATTTCTTCTCTGGAATACACATGTCTTAGGAACACATGGATACTTAGTGCATAGTAGAGGGATTTGACTGAAATGGAAGAGAAACTATTTCTGGAGGTGAGTAGTTGAAAGTGTCCCAAGATAATAAGCCCTGCTCACACAGGTCCCTTCCTGAAGGGATGAGACCAATACCTAGATTCTGTTATCTTCCTTATAGTTCCTTCTTGTGTTTATTTATACTTGTTGCTAAATTAAAGTGCTTTTGCTTTAAGAAAAATTATAAGCCTGTTTTGGTATCCTCTGTTGCTACAGAAACCAATAAAACCGCACAAACTCAGCATTGCTTTCATCAATTCAAGATGAATGGGAAGACAGGCTCTGGTAAAGAAGAATTCTCCATGAACCACAAATATTTATGTTGATTATCAAATTGAAGGCAGCTGATCATGAATAGCAAATTGTTTTGCTGTTCTAATAAACCTGTAATCCTTCCTTACATAAATAAAAAACTTCAAAGTTAACTCATTGGCAACATGAGACACTGCATATCCTATCCACTCTGAAACAAATTTGCACAAAGGTCAAACAGGAGGTCCTGGAACAGTTATTCTGTGTTTCTTTCCCTCTTCCTCCATCCCCCATCCTTCCTCCTCCTCTTACTTCAGGGTTTCAGTATACACAGTCTGTGGAAAATTACTACTTTTATTGAGAACAAAGTCTCTCCCAAATGAGTCCCTTGGAGTAAATAAAAGATGGAACATAGCTTTGCCTTTCGGAAGCCTAAGGCGTTGGCTGGTTTTGTGGACAGGATGATCTGATCCCATAGAAAAAAGTGTTCAAAGTTGCTTTCAGTAATTTGGATGTCTGTAATGTACAAACAGGCAGGGAAATGGAAAAGGAGGAACAATTCCACTCTATTGAACAAATTGCTGTCCCATCAAAGCAAATGTTAAGCATTTCCTACAGTTATGTGTGCAAACATTCCACTTTATAAGAAACAATTTTTCCCAAAGGGATATACTGACCTTTCCGAGTTGAGCTGTTCAGAAAGGGGTGGGGAAATGCACTGCCCTCGGATGCCAAGCGTTTCTGACATTTATGGCAGAGAAAAAGGAAGTGTGTGATTTGCATTTGTCATAGGCCTTGCCCAAGAAGTGGTTAGGTCTGAGATATGTTTTACTCCTGAGGATTTTTTCATTTAAAAAGGTTTAGGGTAGTTTTCAACTTCCATTTCAGCTCAGTGAGCACTTTTACAAAATTCACCCATTCCCAATATTAACAGATAAAATGTGCACACGAAACTAACCTAGGAAATTAAAAATAACAGTTTATGGCAATCACATCTTAAAAGGATGTCAACAAACTCCCAATTGTCCCAGACAAAACAATTAGAAAGTCCAAATAGGACAGGTTTATATCAGGTGATTATTTTTAAACCACTAGAAGGCAGGCTCTACTGTGTCTGCTGTTTCTTGCACAATCACAATGTTTGTGATAACAATGGATATAACCTTAATCCAAAGAATTTTAAAATTCAGAAAAGGTTTAAATGCTACTCAGAAGAGATGGTGTTAAAAGACTGGAATGTTTCAGTAGTGTTTAAGTTTTTTAAAAGGCCTTTTTAAAAATGTTTTCAACATACAAAGGCCAATACATAAGTCACCTAAAGGTAAAGTTTTAGAATAGCGACATCAGACCTGGAGCCCTGATATTTGTGTTCCTCTTGTCCCCAGCCGTGGTCTCAGTAGCACCTCTCAGAATAGCTTGAAAACCAGATCACTGTATACCAGGTTCTTTGAAAATGGCAAATCATGTATACCCACTATGTTGTACTTCGGGGTTCACTGGCATACTACTACCCTGGGTAATGCTGAAGGACTCAGCCCCCTACTGTCCCAGACAAATGAATGCTTAATGGACCTGTTTCCTAACCTTCTCTCACAAAAGCTTGTTTGCCAGTGCTGTACCAGTTTACCTGTGAAAAGAATCTTTCACTTCAAGCACAGAGGCCATGTAAGCATGTGGGATGGCAGTGATGTAAAATGATGACATCAAACCTTGAGTCTGGGTTCCCTTCCTGATGCCTTCAAAGGTAGGGGACATACCTTCTGCCCCTTGCTGCCCTAGAGTTCCTCCCCACAGAGATTTTATCTGACACACCATCAGGGATAGTTTCATTCTCATTTCCTGAAAATGTCCTTTGTTATCAAAGTGATTTTGAATAACTTTGCAAAATTAAATTTTTGCCAGACTAGATCGGTAATGGACTAGAATATGAAGATTATTAACAACTGCAGTATATCTCCAATTTGATGGTGCATTGAAGACCTCCCTCCCCTTCCCTGCAATCAAATAGTTTGAGGTGTTTAAAGTGGTATCCTAGCCTTATTTTCTACAGTAAACAACAGGTGCTGGCATTTTAAACTGACCTTTAATTCTTCGGAACCAGCACATTAGTTCTGGCTTATTGGTTGTCCAGAGAAAATGAACAACAAAAGCAGTCTTAATCATTTTCACGTCTCCAACTGAAAGTAGCACCTGGGAAAAAGTTTTTATAATGATCACCTACTCTGTAAGGGTTCCTTCTCATCAGGACAGACAGGCAACTATGAGGTTCGGGTGCACTGCAAAGCTTGAAAAAGGAATAAAAAGCAGTTGTATTGTTGTGTACTTTAAACTTAAATGAAGTGAGTAAAGTATATCTATATCCTTATGCACATCTAGTTCACTTACCACTACAAAAAAAATACTGAGTCAAAAGATTTTTAATTTACTTCAGAGGCCAACATACCTATTGATGATGATGTCATTTTTTTCTCCATAAAATAGGTAAGCACTGATTTTATTCAGGAATAATCAACAGGTTTGAAAACTGCACTGCTATGTGAATTATGGATGGAATGTTTAACCAAATGAAACTAATCCTGGGCAGAACTTAATATAATGAGCCTGAAACTGACATAAGAATTAGAAACTGTAATAATTTCGCTCAACAATATGAGAATCAGAGTACATCCTTTAAATTTCCTATGCAGAGGGATATTTTTTTCTGTACATTACTCTCTCAACCAGATTGTAAGGACGTATTAAGAAGGGTAATTGGATGAGTTCAGGAACAGTTTGTAACAGGAAGGTCTCTGTGCATATCTTAGCATATGCACAAAACCTGTGACCTTGGCCTCATTAGAATAATGACCCCATCAAATGAGCTAATTGGTCTATTTCGCAAGTATGTGAATATAAATCACATTTTATTTTGCCTTGATTATATCTGACCCAAGTTAATTGGGTATTTGTATATAGCATTGACATTCAACTATAGTTCTTTCTATGAAAATAAAAGCTAACTTCAGTCATATTCAATAAGTTCTTAGAAAACACAAATAGGTGTTACCTACTATGATTTGTAACATTTTCATTGAGTTCTTTAAGACCTAGAGAGGACATTCTAAAGGTTTTTTGGCAGCTCAGTTTCCAGTGAAGAGAGGTCTTAGAAATCAGTCCACATAGGATACTGATTAACTAATATAACCTGCTCTGAGTTTGCTATTTTCCTTTCCTTTAATCAAGCGTACAATTGCTTTTCTATTTTGCTTTCCTTACATGTTAAATGGGGACACTGGATTGCGGAGTCAGATATAATCAGAAACTCTCAGTGTTGAGCACATAATGAATGTTGATCCTTATTAAACTTGCATTCACCTTGGAGGTGTGTATCTAATATTGCAAAATCAGTCAACTTTTCCCACTCTCCACAAGGGGCAGCCAGAGTCAGTGCATGGCAAGGTATGTGTAAAGTGTCTACAGTATCTCATGTGTGTACAGGGGCCTCATAACAACGCCATTTGTCAAGCACTTCATATATACCAGGCATTATACTGTATACTTGGTTTCCGTCCATCCTTAAAGCCACTATCTCCATTTAAGTGATTTACAGACTCAGGCAATTTAATACTGCAGCATTTCTATAGTAGCTCTGAGGCCTCTGAGCAGCTCTCAAAATTGGTGCCATCAGTTTAATAAATACTGCACAGCCATGGAAGTTCCCTGAAAGGGAAGGCGGAGACTGTCTTGGGTTGGCCAGACTTTGAGGGAAAGGTTCTGTGCAGAATCTCCCACTTGTGGATTAGCAGTGTCAGTGAGCACACACACAGGGTAGAAGTCTGTTGTGACGGGAGCAGGTGTGTGTGCAAGAGGCTTTTCCCAAAATAGTGTCTCTTTCCAGTCCTAAAAGACTGAGGCTTCTGGTAAAAAATCATCTCCTACCTCTCTCAAAAGTTACTCCAGTTACTGAGCATGGTAGGATGCAAAGTGAAAACACAGTTGAATACAAAAGGAGTCACAAGTTGGTGCTGTAACCTTGAAACAGCCTTGGTTACTCAAAAAAAAAAAGTGAAGTAAATTAGATAAGGAGTAAGAGCTCTCTTTGATAATAGGAGACAGCAAGTCAAATTTTAAAATTCTGGGTAAATGATAAAGCCAAATTATTAGCTACTAAAATAATCTCTTCATGGACCTACCAGCTTCAACTTTCCAATGGACCAGAAAGTGAGGGACACAGCTCCTTCCTGGAAGAATCTGTAGGTCCCAGCACACGGCCATCCTCCACCTTGGCTTCAGCCAGAACCACTCCCCTTGGTAACTTATATTTGCTACAAATCTTATGAAAGATTTCCTTGGAACAAGGGGCTAAAGAGTGTAAAAATCATTACAGTAGGTTATCCCAAAGCTGAAATACGTAGGATTAAAAAAGATATGAGCGTTAGCTGTAGCTGACCCGGAGCACCCCTTCAGTGTACATCATCAAGAAAACGTAAGCTTTCTGGAACATTGGCCGTGGTTAGATTTGCACTATAGTGGTAGTGTACAGAATGATGTTGGAACCTTGATCCAGGTTTCAGTTTCCATAGCTACCATACCTTCTTCCCAATCACTAATCTTTATCCAAGAATAGTTACTGCCCTGATCAGAGGTGAATGCATGTCAAAACTGAGAATTCAGATATTAAATTTTAAATAGTTCTAAAATGTTGACTCAATTAAATATGCTACTTTTAAAGAAAAGCCAAAGGTCAACTAGAGGATACCCCTAGCTGAAACTTGGTAAAAGGAAATGGCTCGAAACCCTGAAGTGCATGTATAAAAACAAAGTAAGTTTCACATGTCTTTGATTACTTGGTATCTCAATACATGAAATGTATAATTCAAGTAATGGATGGAACTAATTCTACCTATGCCTTTTTACTTTTACTAATAAGCTTCTAAAACTTTTAGTTCTTTGTTAAGAAAACAAAACAGAAATAAATTTAGAGGGTAAAAGAGCCAGTTTGCTACCCCGAAGTGTTTATCATGTGCATTTAACTCCATGACTTCTTCTAGGACCACAATATACTCAATTTAAAACAGGAATTTAGTTTTAGATAGCAGGAGTTAAAAAATTCCAAAATTGTTATTTATTCTTTCCATGAGAAAAATCTTCCTAATTAGTCATACAAACTGAAATTTCTAACCAGTCTTTATTTCTAAATAAACAAAAATAAAAAAGCTGAACAAAAACCAGAATCTGACACACATGAAAATCATGACCAAAGCAGATTTAAGTATTTGTCAACTAGATGGCGAAAAGCAGTAAAATTTACTGTGCTAATGGAGAGGTTATCCTTTATGAACTCCAAATTTAGAAAAATCATGTAGCATTCCCATAACTAAAAATAAATACAAATAAGAGAAGATAATATTTATTATTAAAAATTTGAGTCTAATTCTATTTAATTGGGAGTTTAGTGGCAGAAACTCTAGTTAACATGGTAACTGAAAAGGTGGCTTGGGACTGTAATAAGAGGCTTTTTACAAAGTTAAATTTCAACTGATTCCATAGTCACATTTCCTCTGGAAGCTTAGGCTAAGGACTCAGGGAACTCCCACTGTATAGTTTGTGATTTTACTACGAAATATCACTGTAATTCAAATATATCAGCAGTATTTGTCTTATAGAGTATCTATGACATCTTAAAAACTCACAGAATGTTACTTTTGGGCAATAACTTTTAAGAAAGTAAAAATCTTTAAAAATCCTAAAGCCATAGAAAATCAGCTAGAAGTATTTTAATTATGGAAAAAAATTTAATGGGATTTTAAACTATCAAATCTATGTTTTTCCCTATGAATATAGTATGTATCTATTTCCTTAAAACTATTTTGGGAGTCAGTCAATACCCCAAAATAAAAATATTACTATTTCTATCTTGGTTTATAATTCAATGAATCAATATTACCTTAACTAACACCACCAGTTGAACTGAAGGTTTTCTGCATTTTTAAATTAATGGCTTTTGCAGGGGAGGAACTAAGTTACTTAAAGACACTATACATCTTAAAATCTACAACAAAAGGGAAAAACTACTAATTCTAGTTTTTAAAGGTCACAAGTTATAACAGTGTAAAAAAATTTATCATTTTAACTGACTTTCAATATGTTTATACATGCAATATAAATTACAAGTATGTATAACATTATACCATGTAAAACAATGATGTACAAAAACTTTATGATAAATAAAATTATTGCATTTAATGTCATTTTCTTGAAAACCAAAATCATGAAATTCCTTAATGTTGTATCAAACATAAACAATACCAGTTCCAATGAGAGGAAACATGTGCCAATATCAGCTTCTGACAACAAAAATTAAAAAGTTCAAGCTCTGCAGTCTGTCTGATTTAGGTCAGATAACCATAGAAACAGAAGAATCTTTAAAATTATTTATTTTATCATTATGCACACTGAAGGAAAGCATTATTGACAGCAGAGTTCTTTCCCATCATAAAATTATTTACACCCATTTACTGAGCTAGAAACATTAGCTTGAAGAGGTACTGGTATATTCCACTTGTAATAATTTCTCTGCAGCAAACAATTGTCCTACACTTGGAGCTTGTTGAAGAAAATCTTGTCTCCTATGTCTTTTTTTTGTTTGGAGTTTCAATCATTGAGAATTCAAGGTACTTTGAGAGATTTCTGGTGTCCTGGATGATCTGATGAATGCATTGAAATCAAGCAGTGTTTCTGTAATCTCAAAAATACTCTTAAGTTCATATAAATGTTGCTTGGGTTGTGGAACGTATATTCTCCTACTGGCACTATGATATTTGAAGAACATTTGTTATGAAAGTTTCACACCAATTTTGTTTTGTTCCTTCTTCATTAGCCGCTGTGCTTCCTTTTCCATTTTCTTCCTTTGTTGTTCTGCTGCTCTCTTTTCTCTGTCTGCTATCTTCTGCTGCCTGAAAAGAAACATATTCATACTTTTCTTTTAGAAAATATCACACAGGTTAAATGGCAAATAAATTCCAGAAAGAAATAGCACTGCCTTTTTACTGTCATCAAATGTAAGTTTAAAAAGTCTTCACTCTTCTCACTGCTTTGAAACTTCAAAGATTTTCAAAAACAATTTCTTTTAGCCCTTAGAACATGCCTTGCAAACAGAAAAGCTATTATCTCTACCTTACATTAAATAAGTGAAATGAGGCACAAAGGCTAAGTGACTTGCCAAAAGTCAGAAGATTTAAGGACGAGAATGAGGACTCACATCTTCTGACCCTCTTCAGATTATTTTCAACTAAAACACTGCTTCCATTGGACTATATCTTCTTTTTTGATGACATTCAGAAAAGACTGATATGAACATTAAATCTCCTATTATTACAATTGTTAAAAACAGTCACCTAAGGATACCAATAACATAAGTGCAGAACACAATGCAAAAAGAAAATGGAAACTTAAGACATGCCTTCCAACTGGAAGCTAGAAGGATTAACATTTGACACGTTCTACTAATGGCAAGAATGGGGGGTATTTACTAATTATGCCTAATGGAATACGTTTCTCCTTCCTCGCCCCTCCCTAACTCCACTGACCTAGAATCACTAAACTTCTCTATCTTTATTGAGTGACTTGGTGGAGAGTGGGGTGATGAAAGAGGACAGAGAGAGGAGCACAAGTGGGTCCTGGGTCTGAGGTTTAGGATAGAAGAAACAAGTCAAGAAGCACGCAAGGTTCAGGAAGGAAGCTGCAGATCACAGCTGGGCATGGGATTGGCAACACCAGGTTATTTACAGAAAAATCCAGTGTGGATTACTTATATATATATATATGTGATAGCTCAAAGCAGATGCTAATGTATGAAATGTATATACAATTCTTAATTATATATAAATGACAGTGAGCAGAGGTATGGATGACAAAAATTCAACCAAGTAGAGACTTACTTTGGACAACATTTTGACCTTCACCATCAACTAACTGAAGTTTCAAAAGAATAACTGAAAAAAATCTTTTCACTAGACTTGTTCACTTTCAAGCAAACTGATCATTTGAACCAAAAAATGAAAATGTCAATTGCAAAAGGGAGATAGGAAAAGAATTATAAAGAGCTGGCTAGGTTACAAACAAATATGATAATCAAATTTTGACCTGGGTACTAGCTGAAATATAAACATCAACAATTAATGTTCCTGGCACAAGAGGCAATCTACAGATTACTGAAAACAAAATAGATTTTCCCTATCCAGACACATGCCTAGAATGGAATCTTCTTCCTTAATGATACTGACCATATTGCTGGCAGGATTCTAAGGAGGCAATGGAAAAGAAGGCTGAGTTAGAGGATATGGAGTGTGAAAACACTTTTAAAATTCTCAGTCTTCTTCTGGGGAGGTAACAGTGTATGGAAGCCTCCATGTCTCTGACTCTACTTATGCAACACACAGGGACATGAAGCATGCCTAAGACACTAACTTCAAGGTGGGGGTTGGTCTGGTTTTGCTCAGGGTGCAAAAGGATACGGTGGTGGGGAAAAGAAGGTTTTTGTACAGAGAATGTTAAGATACTTGTGAACTCATAAACTCTATATATAATGCAAAATTACTGGATTCAAATTGAGAAGCCCCTTCCTTTATCCTTGCAGTTAATGGCACTGATAATCACTAGAATCCCCAAAATGTTTTAAAATACTCCGACTTCTATGACTTAGGGAAAAAAAAAGTTAAAAATAAAAAGATGACATAGTTTTTGATGGTCCATGTGGCATAAATGTTGCCATTTAAAATTTTTAAAATAATTATTTTGTAGTGAATTATGACCAAGTAGAAAATAAATATTTTAAACCCTCACAACTTTACAAACTTCTAAAATGTGATCCCCCCGTTAAAAAAAAAAATGCTGAAAATAGGAAGAAGGCAAAAAAAAATTTTTTTAAGTCAGCCCTAACTCCCAGTTATTTAACTGCACCCTCTGCTGGCTGTTGGAGGTAACTGTAATTTATTGGTAAAAACAGGAAAGGAAAATACAAAAATGAAATGAGTTATTTCATTAGGGTAATTCATTTTCTATTCCGATTTCAAAACAATCTTTTAAAGTAAAAGAAAAAACTTGCATTGTTGTATTTTACTATATCATTTTAATAATGCAAAGGTAATACATTTAAATATCTGAGTTTCATCAATTATGATAGTCACAAATTCTTTTAAAGTAAATTTTCAAGTTTCTTGCTCACAAAAACAAAGAAATAAGAACATAACAAACAAACAAACAAAAAAACCGTGAAAACCTCCAGAATGCTATTTTCTTTTCTGGAGAATTGGCAATACCTGACATTATTTACCTCATGTCTACTGATTTAGTTATATAAATGTAGAGTGCTATATAAGTTATTTTCATTCAAATGTACAGTGCTGGGCACTATACTAAACCATGGGGAAACAAAAGTAAAGGTATAATTTCTGACAAAGAGGATATACAATGGTGGCTCACATTTCATAGTAGGCCATTTCAAGGGTATGTCCTATAGGGAATGTTAAGTACAAAGCATATAGCATAATATGATGCATATACCTAAAAGATCTCATTTACCATTAATAACATTATTATTATTTTGTTTCTATAATGGTTTAAATTCTTGGTTTCTGTGACGTTTTAATCATATGAAATAGTATATGTAGTCTGAAATACAAAAAATTTCCCATATCGAACCCTCCTACACTGCTGGTGGGAATGCAAATTAGTTCAACCATTGTGGAAAGCAGTATGGAGGTTCCTCAAAAAGCTCAAAATAGAAATGCCATTTGAACCAGGAATCCCACTTCTAGGAATTTACCCTAAGAATGCAGCAGCCCAGTTTGAAAAAGACAGATGCACGCCTATGTTTATTGTGGCACTATTTACAATAGCCAAGAAATGGAAGCAACCTAAGTGTTCATCAATAGATGAATGGATAAAGAAGATGTGGTACATATGCACAATGGAATATTATTCAGCCATAAGAAAAAAACAAATCCTACCATTTGCAACAACATGGATGGAGCTAGAGGATATTATGCTCAGTGAAATAAGCCAGGC